AGACCGACATGTCAAACAACCAATTACAGTTCGTTTCGTTCAGCGTCATGTTTCGGGGCGTGGAAATGTACCCACAACAACAGACCGGTGTGCAACAAGTCAGTCAGCAGTCACCGGAGGCGCTAACAACGCTCCGTGTTATTAAATTCACCCACGAACTCGCTCATGTCCATCTTATGTCCGCTTTGTCACACGAATGTAAGTTACGTCCCCGCCCCAGTGCGCTCACGCCTACTAAATAAACGCCTCACCTCCGGCGCCGCGCACTCGCTACATTCCCTTTAGCCTTTAGCACATCTAGTGGATGCATAACGCAAACCCAGTCAAACGTTTGACTCTGCAGTATCTTATGTGCCTTATAATCCAGTGTGCGCGACCTATATATGAATACTGAATCGGCCAGCTGCGATGTCAGCGTCTGTTTCATGTTTGTCCACAAACGCAGCTGATATACCCTTCGCAATTAAGTACTTCACTTGATCTTCCATAATAGATTGGAGGGGACATACAACTACGTTTAGCTGATCTTGAGAAATGCTCATTGTCACTCACATAGGCCACTCATATAAACACAACAGTTTTTCTTCCGCAATCACACATCTGCGCTTTGTTTCCCGGCGGACCGAAAATAAACGCGACACTGACGCCCCCCGGAAATCCGATAAAATTCAACCAATCAGATGACGACTTCGACATTCCTGAAGTGTTTCCAGTTAAGTGTACCATATGCATCAGACGTTTAGCCAACCTTCCGTGGGCGTGACGTCTGAGGCTGAGACTAGACTGATCTAGCTCTCAGATTCAATCAAAAATATCTTTATTTGTGTTCCGAAGATGAACAAAGGTCTTACGGGGTTGGAACAGCATGGGGGGTGAGTAATTAATGACTTAATTTTCATTTTTGGGTGAACTAACCCTTTAACTGTGCAACTGTACAGCCTTTGTGTGTATGTACTCTATACCTCAGTCTTGTACCTTGAAGATCTACACTCCTGCAAAGCTAATTAAGATCTTATGAATGTAGATCTCCAGAAACAGGATCTGGCACCCCTGATGTGTGCAAACTCAAGTCTTAAGTCCAATACTTGCATTACTACTTTGTGTTGGTTTCCTGGCAGGTCTGAGGGTTTTGTTGCTGGCAGGCTGCTCGTGGGCAGCTGTATCTGCTTTATGCACATCCAGTTGTCCTTTGCTAAGAACTCTAGATGTGCAGTGGGTAGAGGGACTAAAGGACAACCAGATAAGAGACTTACTTTCTCCGCCAACAGACAACAGACCAGGTACTGAATGATAACATTAACTACTGTTTGTTCAATGACAAATGATTAATTTTGACCTTTACTTATACTTTTGAGAAGGTATTTTACTTATTTTTCAAATTCATAGCAGAAAATAACATTTCTGTTACCTTGTTTAAAGATTGATTTGGAAAAAAATAAGCTTATTTGTGTTTCCCAGGTCAGTTGGACAGTAGAAGTAAACTGAGGAATGTGGAGGATCTCTGTCTAGCTGGTCTGGACATCACAGATGAGACCCTAAAGCTGATTATAAAACACATGCCATCACTGTCTCAAATGGACCTTAGTTACTGTAACCACATCACCGACCAGAGCGTCAACATCCTCACGGCAGCCGGCACCACGACCAGAGACTCTCTTACTCACATCAACCTGTCAGGTATGCAGGAAATATTAAATATTGGGGCGGCAGTGGCTCAGTGGTTTATGTAGATTGTCTACAAACCGAAAGGTTGGTGGTTCAATCCTCGGTTCCACCTGCCCAAGTGTGGAGGTGTCCATGAGCAAGACACCTAACCCCAGCTGCTCCCGACGAGCTAGATGGCGCCTTGCATGGCTGACACCGCCGTCGGTGTATGAATATGTGTGTGAATGGGTGAATGTGAGGCAATATGTAAAGCGCTTTGGTGGCCATTAGGTCTATGAAAGCGCTATATAAATGCAGTCCATTTTAAAACCCTCACATCAGAGGCTAGACACACTAACAGAGAGTTGAGTGGGCTGGAAAACAACCATGAATACTGTGTTTGTGTGTGTGTGTGTGTATGTATGTATGTATACAAACTTACCTTGATCTGGGAAGATTACTATTTTGACATTTGACGGATTGAGTCTTGGGAAAAGCATGACGCAAGGTCACGACTCTTCACTTTGCTTCTAAGGCCAAGCATTAAAGGGATAGTTCACTTTGAAATGAATTTTTGATATGTTTTAGCTTACCTCAAGGGCATCCAAGATGTAGGTGTCTTTGTTTCCACAGTATTTTCAATTTTGACATTTTTCAGTCAAACCGTTGTTGTATATCAGTCATACACTGGAGGCTAAGGGGGTCCACCAAAAAGCATGCACAGAGAAGTCAAAATTAAACATGATTTAATGACTCGTAAATGTAAGTACACATTGATGGCCTAAGACACGAAACGAGTGGTTTTTGTGAGAAAACGAACAGTATTTATATCGTTTTTGAATTGAAATTGAAAATACTGTGGAAATAAAGACACCTACATCTTGGATGCCCTTGAGGTAGGCTAAAACATATCAAAAATTAATTTCAAAGTGAACTATCCCTTTAAGTGATGTAGCCTAAATCTGAGAAATTGACATTATGGGCTCTAAATTACCTTTTCTTTTCTCCACAGTTTGTAACAAAGTTACAGATCTGTCACTAACCTACTTCAAGCGCTGCGGAAACATTTGTCACATTGACTTGCGGTGCTGCAAACAGGTGACCAAAGAGGGTTGCGAGCAGTTCATCGCAGAGATGTCTGTCAGCGTGCAGTTCGGACTTATTGAGGAAAAACTACTGAGCAAACTGAGCTAGTCGACAAAGACAGACAATAACTTGAACTACACCCCAGGGAACTAACAATCTCGCCCCACATTTTTGTTTTTACACTTTTACAACACAGGATGTGTGGAGGCTAACACACTCAACAGAAAACCAGCAGAGAAAAATGTCTAATTGCTAAACAACACACTCCAAGCAAATGCCTGAACTCATCGCCAGAGCTCACAAGTGAAGAAATGTATTCATCTCAAGTGGCCAATTCTGCCTTTCCATTTTTTTTTTATCTGTTGTGCTGCTAAGGCAAACATTTATTGATTTTTTTTAACGGTTTTTTTTTTTAAGTTTACAGGCACAGCTGGCAGAGAGTGCCAACGTTAAAAAGCTGTTGAAAGGCTAAACATATATTTTGCATAAATGTAAAAAAAAAATTATAGTCAGTGCAGTTGCAGTGACAAAACTGACTGTTATTTTCTTTCTCAGTAAAGAAAAAAATCGAGATGCATGTGCTTTTTTCGTTACCATGCAAACGTTAAGCTTCATGCAGTATTAATTTTTGTATCAGAAGTGATTTCACACTTTGTGCAGTATTAAATGCACTCGTATAAATATATTTAGACTTTATTGACAGTATTCAGTCAGTACAAGGTTTCTTTTTTCTACGCAGTAGGAAGTTAAACAGATTCCTACCTATAGCTAGAGTAACTGTGCAGATGTTTCTGTAATGTTAATTTAAGATGTGATGTTCTTTAATGTTATAAGATGTTCAACAGATACATTCTTTTCGATACGACTATATTACTTACCTTGGCTTATGTATATATCTGGGGAAATACGTTTTTGCACTGTTTGACCTGAATAAATAGTTATTTTTTCCAGTATTGGGGTTTTGCTTAACGGAATCTTGACTGTGTGAACAACTTGATTTTGTGTGTGTGTGTGTGTGTGGGCAAAATGATCATAAAATGATTTCAAGCATCATATATTACGATTGATTCCCGCCTATGTTTTTCCCGCTCTTTTGCAACGAGCTGAGACTTACAATTGAATTTAGTAGCCTAGCCTACAGGTTACCTGACAGGCTTACCTTGACTAATCCAGTTTCCAGAATAACAAGCAACCATATCGGAGTATTGTGCCATTCATACAGTATATTTTATCTGCTGAGTCTGACGTCTGACCGAGTGAAACGTTTTCTATTCCTATGACTTTAAACGTTGCACCAAACAGCCATTAGAGGGCGCCAATCAGCATTTTGCGCCTCAGAAAAGAAGAGTAAACATTAATATGAGTAAAATCTTTATTTTGTTAGTTCAAGGTACCATATTTTATTAAATTTAATAAATAATCTTTGAATTACCAAAATAAAAAGTTCAACGATCCAAAATACAAAGACCAATCCCAAAATGTCTTCCAGTGTTCAGTTTAAGTCATTTTTTTTAGAGTGTGGTCTTGTCCATTGTCTGCTCAGCTAGAGTAGTTACCCACTACCAAGTGACATCTTTTAGAGATAGCAGCATTAGAAACATACACATAAGCACAGTGTCAGCGTTGGGCAGACGGGTGTGGAGATGTTTAAGAAGAAAATTAAAAACAGTCTTGATTATAGAAGTACATGGACGTGACATCAGAATGCAAAATTCTACTTAAGCATTAATTTGGACTGGTTTCAAAGATAAACAACTAAATCAATTTAGTTTACATTCAAGGAAAAACTGGGACACTGATGGGGGATGTAACGTTTAAAAGAAAATGCAAGAAAAGCCTGGAGAAAAGAGGAAAATATCCATATATAATAATAATAATAATAATTCGTTACATTTATATAGCGCTTTTCTGGACACTCAAAGCGCTTCACATAGAAGGGGGGGATCTCCTCAACCACCACCAATGTGCAGCATCCACCTGGATGATGCGACGGCAGCCATATTGCGCCAGAACGCTCACCACACACCAGCTTACTGGTGGAGAGGAGACAGTGATGAAGCCAATTGGTGTATATGGGGATATTTCATGTACATTTCTTCACATGTATATAAAATTTGATTAAATTTTCCTTTATATTTGTTTGTCTAGGCAATACCACAGATAATAACTTTCATTTAACTACAGAATTCACAGCCACAAATGGCATTTAGAGGAATCAAGTAACCTCCTCTTTATCGTTAGCTGATCTAGAAAAGATAAATATTCAGAAAAAGGGAAGGAACAGTTTATTCAACTCAAATAATATTGCTATGGAGCAAATATAATAAAGAATTGTAATGCGTAAATCCATGTAGCACCGCTTGTGGAAATCTTTGTTGTCATGTAAATGTGGTGCAAAAAACAAAACAAAAAACCCCGGATGTCTTTCATGGTATTGCTGGAGATGAAAAACATTGAAGCAGAATTTTTGACCAACAGTGAAAAATTAAAATTGTGTAAATAAAACCTACCAAGGCATGTAATCAATTAAAGGTGCACTAAGTAATTTTGCTTTGGACAAATTGATAACTCATGAGACTACATAAAGGTGAACCTTCCTTATGGCAGCCAGCCAAACTTCCATTACCTTAATAACCACCCTATTATTATCGAACATGTTCAGTTAAAAATTACTTAGCACATCCTTAAGAATGTTGTTGGTGCAGCACAATGGAGACAAACCAACCACAAACCTGACATTTGACAGATACTGCAAAATTTGACCAAGAAAAATTGAGGTTCCAGTAATAAGCTACATAACGGCAGATGCTGGATTCCAGTGTGTCTGAAAAAATATGATACAGTTTCATCTAGCTATAAATAACGGGTCATTTGATCCTGTGTCATGAAATTGTGTTATGCCAATACATGAAAATAACACGCTTATTAATAATATAGCACGTAAAAACAAACCAGAAGCCGTTCTGCACATTTCTACTTTGGCACCTATGTTCCCTCTTCACGGCATTGGTCTTCACTGTTGCTACGACAACATGCATCTTAATGGCAATCGGTCTCTACACTCGCTCACGTAAAGATTTCTTATATTGCACAAACAATAACACATTTCCAAAAAGTTTACAGCAATGTAAACCATTCAAACTTTTATATTTTTTATACTTTATTCCACTAAAAACCATCTTCCCTGGGTTAGGAACCACAGAAACTCATAAAAGTGTCAATGAATGACCAAATGAAAATGTGCAACAGGAAACGTTCGCTCTTGTAAATAAGGTGTGCACAGTACCGGTTTCCACCACTTTACCCAGTGTGAAACTAAAGGAGCAGTCTCTCGGTCCAGTCACTCATGGTCCCAGCCTGCTCAGTCCAGTAGGAACCATCTGGTGTGTTGGTCTTTCAGGAGAGGTGATGCTCGTGGTTAAGACTTGAAGACGTGCACCGCCCGCACCACATACTGCCTGCAGATGGGGCACTCGTTCATCCTCTTGCCGCACTTGGTGCAGGTGACCATGTGACCGCATTCCAGAAGAACGCAGTCTATCACGGCATCCATGCAGATCCGGCACAGGTTCTCATCCACGCCGCCCAGCTGAGCTATTTGCGCACCATCTGCAAGACAAGTCAATATATGGATGGTTTGAGATCTGGTTTAATCATCTATAGATCTTGTGTGCCTATGTGTAATAAGGTACTTTTAAACCAAAAGCTTTTGGGGGGTTTTTTGTACATACTGTAGCTGCATTAACAATGAAATTTTGAAAGAAATTTTGAGCAGTAAAAATGTGATGTCAATTTTCAGTTTGATTAAAATGCTTCAAAGAAATGTAACATGTTCAATGAAACTTTAAACTCCATTGAAAGCATTTTTGATTAATGTTTTCGTCTTGCCCCTTAATTTAAAAGCAATTACGATGGAAATATAAGGGGCCACGCATGTTAAATATTTAAAAGCAGAAATGTGAATATTTTGTAAAAGAAAAGAAAATGAGCATGCGATTTTTTTTAAAGAACAAAAATCTCATTTAAAATATAGCTGCATGCAGTGATACGAGGGCCAACAGCAGTGCATAGCCAGAAGAGCAAAGATATTGAAAAGAATGTCTGCATATTTTTTCAAAGATATTGGTGCTATTAATATTGGTGATATTAATGCTAGCCTCATCAGCCCTGTGAAGACCTCATCGACACGCACTGATCCTCCATACCGGCGTGATGACTCCGACTTCCAACCAGATGGAACTGGGTAAATATTCTGATCCAATCTGACTTCTGACCTGTAATGCTGCCTGAATCATAATCATACACAGTTCGTTCGTTAGCCAGAGGAGAACTAACCCCTGACTGAGCCTGGGTTCAAGGTTTTTTCTCCATTCTGTCACCTGATGTTTTGGTTCCTTGCCACTATTGCCTTGGCTTGTGGCTTAGTTGGGGATATTTAATATTTAATGAAATTATTGATCTGCCTTACTTAAAGTTATAGCGGAGGATTTTCTTCTTCCGGGTGGGTAGCCTATACTATTGGTCTACCTAAGTGTCAATCATTCTGGTGATATGTTTACGTAAGGCCTTCGTACGTGCTCACCCCTATGTAGTTTTCACTTTCAGGTGTATTATGTGTGATGAGTTACGGTTTCAGCCATTCCTTTGAAAATGGCTGAGGGTCGAAAGAGTATGAATGTATGCGAATTGTATGATAAGAAGAGAAAGGCCGCAGAATATAGAAACAAGACCAGAGTGATTATGGGTGAATATTTCACACGCTGGCGTGCGCTAAAAGAACAGGTTGGGCTTTCCACTGATGCCGCAGTCGCGAAGATTCTACTAGACAGGTAAAGATTGTCATGCTATTTGGAGAAATCCATTTAAAATCACTGCTAGTAAAAGTTAATGTAAGCTATGATTAACGATGCTAGCCCTGGCACAAGTCATGCACCGCGTAGACACGGTAAACATCTCAATTTGTCTAAAGTAGCCTTTTGACCAAATGGTAAATGGTATCATGCTGAAATATTCTAAAACCTTGTGATAATAACATATTGATAATTCCAATATGTTAACCATAGTATTATTACACAAATGCAACAAGCTACTTTTCCATTGCATATCATGTCTTGAGTCCTCAGTCAGTATAATAAGTAAATAAAACACAGAAGGGCATTTGACATTTTGTCTTTTTATGAATGTTTTTGAGGTAGTTTATAATCAGAGGTGGAAAGAGTACTGAAAATTTGTACTCAAGTACAAGTACAAGTAGTTGCTAAAATAATACTCGATTACAAGCAAAAGTACTGGTGTTAAAAATGTACTTAAGTAAAAGTACAAAGTACCCCTCTCAAAAACTACTCAAGTACTAATTACTAATTACTTTTAGCCTGTGATATTTATTTACTTTTATGGAAACCAAGTTATAAAAATGGTCTAAAATGATTATTATTATTATTAATGAATATAATGCAAAATAAATAAGCTTATTGGGATATTTTATTTATAAACTTCTTTTTTTTCTTTTTTTTTACAATAAAGATTTCCAAAAGTACCCTACTAATATTTCAAAAGTTTCAAAAGTTATCAGCATTTAGCACTGACACAAATGTGCCATCTAGACAGACTGACAATCAGTGCAGTTACACTGTTATGCCAGTGGGTCATGGCCGGCAAGATACTGTTTTTATGAAAGAGTCATTATTAAACTCTTCATTCTAAGCTTAAAACACGGATTCAATATTAATAAAACAATTTGTTGACAATGACATACAATATAACTTTTTAATCAAAGTTTACAATGCTAAATCTTTATTACGGTATATGTGCTTGTCACCTGAGTAACGCTGAAGCTCATGTTTCAAGTGATGTTTTTAGTCAAATTATCGTGAGGTCTTCCCAACTTTAAAAACAAAAACAACTGAACTATCACACATCACTGCAGAAACAAAGTTTCTATAAAACGTCTCCTTTCCTTCCTCTGTATAAGAACAACTCCTCCATGTGGGGTCATGGGCACTCGTCATCTGGTATTTCTTCAGAATTTTCAATGAATTCAGTGTCTCTAATGTCCATGTCCATTATGGCAAAGTTCTTTGATAACACTACAATACAAACTGAAGGACGTGTGAGGACGAATATAGCTCTCCAGGAACCGGGCTTTTTTCCTGCTCCAAATACAAGGGTTTTTATTGGCCCGCCCACGATCAGTTATTTCCATTGGATACCCAAATGCTGGTCAAAGATTTGAATATTTGTTGAATTCAAATTGTACAAGTACTTTGTAATTAATGGGATTTTTAAAGTAGTGAAGTACATTACTTAACTTAATTTGTACTCAAGTACAAGGAAAATTACAGACTAAAAAATGTACTCATAAAAGTACAAGTACACGAAAAAACTACTTAATTACAGTAATCTGAGTAGTTGTAATTCGTTACTTCCACCTCTGTTTATAATTTGCAACATAATTATGTAAGGCGTAATAGGCGTTCCCTCTAGGGAGCAAATAGAGTGTTGTGCATGTGCATTTTTTTTAAATTTGGAGAGGGCGGGTCTTCTCTAAAATTCGGAAAGATTCTCCGCTATACCTTTAAATTGGACGATGACGCAATTTTCTTCTAGAAACAAACTTTGTTGTATTATTTTCATGTTATCACTGTGAAGCTGCATGGTACAATCTGTATTGTAATAAAGGTGACTTGACTTGATCATATTTTGGCCAAAACCGGACAAAATGTGTAGGAGGAACAGCGAAAAAACAGTTTTCCATTCACTTCAAAATGGCGGACAAACAAAATGATAGAAAATGAAAAATGAGATATCTTCGAAATTGGCATAAGCCAAGGAATGCAAGTACATGAAAACAAACTTTGGACAATGTTTTGAAAAGTTATAAGCGTTTTTGCAAAAATCCTTATATCTCTACAACACTAGGTGGCGCTGTGTTCAAACTTCTCAGGTACCTTCAGGACATGCTGTTGATGATCCCTACCAAATTATGTGCCGATATGTCAAATTGTTTAAGAGATATTAAACTTTATAACAAATTTCAAAATGGCGGACTGATGGTCACTCCTTTAACACACTGTCTTTCTTATTTGACATCATTCCAACCAGTCAATCTCAGCGGTCATACCTTTTAATGAATGGTATACAGTATGTGCTTTCAACTCTCCTGTTCAGCAGTCTTATCCAGTATTTGCTGATGTCAGTCTTATTATCTCTATTAATTGCTCTCTAAAAAACGAAATGGGGCACATCCCTAAAGCATCTGAAACTTGGTCCATCTCCAAAAAGCCACTTAATATATTGTCTCAGACCGGACAGCTATAATCTTTTGGATAATTTTGGGCAGTTTTCCAAACAGTGTTAATCATTATTATAATTAAAGATGGAAAGGTGCAATTACAGTAATGTGACAAGCTATAAAAAGACAGATCACATTAGGAGCACAATTTATGACACAAATTTGATCATGCACGTGAGAACCACATATCAAACTCTCAGCATGCATCGGGAAGAGTCACTTTTCATTCACGGCAATGCGATGATGGTAATGATGATGTTGGAGCCACATTAAAAAGGCTGAGTCTTACCTCCAATACCTCCATTGCATATAGGAGGTGGGTAAGCTATGACTTTGATACACAAACATAGTAATGGTAGAGTTAGCGTTATTAGCATTGGACAGCCCTGTCAAAATGCTAACATGCATATAGAAAATTGTCTTTTAAAACTTGACATTGTTAACCAGAAAGAAAATATTTTCAAGTGATCTTGTTCCATTTTCACACTGGGTAAGTAATTAATCGAAGTTAGACAGGTTTTGACTGATACATTTGACTGGCTGCAGTTTCTCTAACGGCCACTGGTGTCAGTAACGGTAAGAAATTTCAGAACTTCCACAATGCTCCTTTAATGTTTTTATTTGAATGTATTATGCATTAAATATTATGTATAATATAACTAACTACTAACGCTAACTAGCCAAATCCTAACCCCTTTGTTATGACATTAATCCAGAGTTAAACATAGTGTGCTAAGCTTATATTTACATTGTCACGACAAACAACACTTCATACTAATGCCGAGTTAAGACTGCACGATTTTAGCAACGATTTTGGCTCGCGACAGGTTTTGAGAAATCGCCGACAAATGCCTGAAATCACAGGCGAATCGGCACTCGTTCACGTGAGTGAATTGTGATGTGAATTAGCAACGCAATGTGAATTAGCAAAGACGCGATCTGAGAGAATCGCCGATGAGTCGCCGACGCCCGTGAGATATTTGCTATGCTGAAAACTACATCGGCTATTACCGACAGCCAATGAGAGAGCGAGATACAGAGCAGGGGGAGTTCGGGGAGGAGTTATAGATCAGTGATCACATATCAACATTCAGGGCATTGTTTCAGAAAAAGGTTTCTTCTCGGTCTATTTGGACCCAAGAAATGGAAGAAAAATGATTAGAAATTTGGCAGGAGCACCCGTGTCTGTTTGACGTTTCATCTGAGCTGTACCACAACCGGGTCGAAAAAGAAAAAAAGTCTCACGTGAGAACTCGGTCTTTCCTTGTCACATCTCACGTGTGTTTGTTGTGAAACGTAGTTTACGGGCAGCGTGCTAGACACAGTTGTCAGCGATTTTTCCTATTGTAAAGTCATGCGGTGTGAAACCTTCTGTCGCCGATCCATTTGTGCAGTGTGACAGACTGATCTCATGAAGTAGCGTGTGTATGACGTTTTTGGCGTGCTATCAAGACGCATAATTGCTTTTCAGCGTGTTTATGAACGCCGTTGACTTAACGTTATATAAATATATGACTTACCTCAACCCCGTCCCTAAACCTAACCGTCAGTGGGGTTAATGGCATTTATGACTGGAGATTTGACGGCGTGTACAGACACGCGGAATGACGCGGACGTTAATGGCGTAGACATATACGCATACACGCGGATACACGCGGATAGCTCAAAATGAGTAGAGATAACACGCCACTTGACTCGAAAGTGGCGTGTATGTTTACGCAAAAGTCATGATGTCATGTTGAGTGTGAACACAGCAGCGACTGAATGCTGGCCAAGATAGTCATGCAGTGTGAAAAGAACAGCGACCCGACTACTTTGAAAATCGTGCAGTCTGAACTTGGCATAAACGATCAAAATAAACAGAGGTTATTTTAACAGTGTAATTAAAACTAAAGTAAAGTAAAATTACATAGCAAAAATGAGCATGTAAATGTAGCCTTAGCAACAGTTAAGCTGAGGTGAAATACATAAAAGTAAAATACATAATTCTGAATATAAACATAATAAAACAATAAAACTGACAAAAGCAAACAAATAAAATCAATTAAAATTCAAACTGAAAAATATCAAATTAAAAGTTATTCAAAATATGAACAAATTCTTTAATAGTATATAATTTTTAACATAATACAATCTGGTAAAATATCAAAACAGGTTGGCTTACCTGCAGCAAGGCTGTTGCTAACATTTTCCACTGTAAGGAAAAGAAAATGAGAAGAATCAATTTCACTGAGAGCACACGCCTGTTTGAAAATCCTATTAGCCACAGCTGATTTGGGGCTGATCCTTGACTGACTCAATTTCATGTTGTTTTTTTCTCACATGCAGCCTGTCAAACAGATTTGAAGACTGTGATAAAATGACTGCGTTCTTTCTCATTATTTTACCAATTATATAGCCAGCAAAAGATAAAACGATACTTTATATACCAAGGAACCCAAAGGAACATTTCCTGCACTATTCTACCACTTAAACGTCTTCATGATATCATATAGAAGATGGATCATCTGCTTAAATTTTTTTTTTTTTTGATTGAATTCAGATTGGTCACAAAACTTGCTGACTTGGGTTTTTTTCCAATCCATTTGACATTGGTTCGAGGCCTTTTTTAGCAACTCACTATCAGACTTTTAAGCAATTTGAACACAGATATTACCGGAAAAAATACTGATAATGTGTCCCGGGATAGTTTGATTTTGGTATATAGATGTATAACTTGCTTTATAGTGCGTCACATTGAGTCTTACTGGATCTTCTGTTGAGTTCGTTCTCTCTGTAGAGACGATGGACGCGCTCCACGAGCTCCCATTTCTCACAGCAGCCTGAAAAGTTGACGAAGTTGCGGGCGAGAATCTCCTTCAGCTGCCGCACCGTCAGGCTCTCGATGTCGTCCTCGCGGGACAGGTCCGAGAGGGAGGCACGTGCGCGTCTCTGCGTCGCTGGGCTCGCCTGTTCGGGACAGACAGCAACAGAGACATGTAGACGGATCTGTAGTCCACAATGATATTGTATCAGACTGCTTCAGATTTTTCTGAAGTATTCGCCAAACACTGAGCAGAATTATTGGATGCCACTGAATTATTAATGTTAATGGATGCTGAAGTAACCCAATAGTCTTCACAGAAGGTAGCACAATCAACCAGGGCATGCTCATTTTGTCAGAAGCGAATACATGGAGGGTTTGTCTCACCTCCAGTATGTCGTCATGAGGCTCCAGGTTGAGGAGGGAAACTGATGCAGCATCTACATGTTCCTGAAGATAAAACACAGAAATCAAGATCAGATTAAAATCCGGTTGAAGTCAGAATGTGTGTTCTGACCCGATGAGCAGTGGGGAGTACAGATCCCATCTCTCCTCTAAAGGGGTTTGTTCATTTGGAAAAGAAAATTGGATAGATTAGAGCTGTGGAAATTGTAATAAATGGTAGATTGGCCAGAAAAAATAAGACTAAAACTTGTCTTAAATATATTTTTTTATCTTAAATATATTATTAATAAATAAATATAATCTTAAATATATTTCAGAATATGAATTCATATTAAATACAAACATGTTATACATAACAAAACAAAAATTTTGGGCCAATACAATTTAAAAAAAAAAAATACAGCAAAAACAGTGTTGCAAAAAATAAAATTTAAGATTATTGTTCTCTGTAGGCTAATTATTATTTTTTTTTACATATAATTTATTCCTGTGAATATAAAGCTGAATTTATTAGCATCATTACTAATATGAATATGCTGATTTGATGCTCAACACATTTTATTATTTATATTTAACACATATTATTATTTATGTACAAAACAGTTGTGTTGCTTAATACTTTTTGTGGGAAACTTTTACAGGATTCTTTGATAAATAGAAAGTTTAAAGAACTGCATTTAAATATAATATACGTAATATAATATAACATAGTATTATAATATTATATTGAACTAAAATTGCCTCATTAAGTAATAGATTTAATTCAATTAACATATTTTACTCATTATAAATTGTAAAACACATCAACATTAAAGTAAATCCTAAAAAAATTCCCATTCTATTGTTCTTGGAAAGTTTTCACCATGTTAAAAATGGAAGTCATCAAAAATGAAGTGTCCAAATGGTTTCTCAAACCTATGAATAATCTCTGTCTGTCTAAGTGCATTTAAATGAAACCATCACATTTTCACAATTAGCTTCCCTCGGTTCTGCAACTGCACACAAAATAACAACACATTATACAGATTCAATCATTCATTCCCAAACACTGGTTCCCTGTGTCATTCAAACAAGGACTGTGCAGACCGCGTTTGGTCTCTCTCTCGCGCTCTCTTTTCCTATTGCCGCATTCAGAACAATTAGCTAATGTCTCTGCGTTGCTCCTCTCTTCTGTCTTGCAGAAGAATGACTGTGTTTATGAGAGAGCTCAGCACATGGACTGAGATCTCACACATGGGCCACATACAGACATCGTGCAGCTTTGCTGGCTGGCTGCGTATTAATAATGAATGGGTCAGTCTGCCAATTCAGGCTCTAAAGTCACACTAGACCATCACAGTCTCTTCCTGAACACACAGTCACACTCTTTAAAACTTTAGGGTGAATTTATGTAGTTATCAAACTTAGATATTAAAGTGCTTTTAAAGAGGCAAATGATTGTGCTGTTCTTTAACTGTACAGTAAGTGCAAGTCATTCAGGAATTATCGGACAACCTGTTCTAACATTATGTAACGCGCTCAGCATGTCACGTCTAAATAAAAAGGAAAGACTTAAACGTCACGGCTAGCCTGGTGGAGTACAGCTGTTTCCAGTATCCACGCGGTCACGTCACATCAAGGCACGTCAGAGCGGATGAGTGCCTGCTAACTGAGGGTTGTAAGCAGCTTACTGTACTGAAAACAGGACTCAATAGATCAGGGGGTGCAATTGCAAAAAAAAATAAAAAAAATAAAAAAAAGCATTTTTACATGCTTTAACATGCATAATGCTATAGGGATTTTAACAGTAGGCATGCTAAATTATGATATAATGCAACAAAAATTTTAAAGATAACTGACAATAATGTTAGTTTTTCTTCATTGGTTTAGTTAGTTTCTTGAAACAAGAAATTACATTCTCAAAACTCTAAGATCATATGTCAAATCAGTCTTACAGTTCAGCACAACACTATAGCTCACTTGCAAAAGCTCATACCTCTCCCAAAACAGTTCCCTCATGTGGAAAAACTAAATTTCTTTCTCATTTAAATAGTCAGTGCCCCCAGAATGCTTAGTCCCTTTGGCATTGTGTAAGCAGTGCAAACCAAAATGTTTAGATGTTTTGTCACTATGGAGGAGGACCATTGAAATATCCCTCATGTCCATCTTTCAGTCTTACTGTATCCCAGTCCTTCATTGACAATGGTTATTATACTGTTTTTTTGTCTAGCTAACAGAATACAATTGTGTATAAAACTGAAATTTTGGGGTAAGAGTAGCCTCCAAGATTTGACATCACACATTGCACTCATACTGCCAATGAATTGTAACCATTATCATTCACACACATAAAGTAACTTCCATACATCAGAGGTAAAATGAAATACATTCTCAAAATAACATGGACACACCTCCAATTACATAGGAATGTTCTATGTTCTCCACAAGTTCAATATACTGCTGGCCACTACTCCAGTGGCTCCAAACCTGGGGTACATGTACCCCTATGCAGAGGTACTACAGGGGGTACCTGACAGAAAGGGGAGGGGGAAATCATCAATGACTAGACTTACTGAAATTTTACAGTAAAACAGTAAATGTTACAGTAAAATGTTACAGTAACATGGGAGGCACTACTGTTACAGTTTTTCTCAATTGCTTTGGCTCAGTTCTCAAATGTTTTTTTTTATTTCCCAAAACATTAAGTTCAGATCTCTGAACAATTCGCTTCTTTTTCACACCAGATTGGAATTTCTTATTGATTTGAGCAAATTGCAAATGCTTTGGCACATGTGTGCAAAGAGTACATACAACTGTCTGCAGTTTGGACAACAAATAATTGCATATGGCTTGTTGATCAAAACTGATGACTCGATTCTCACTTACACTGTCAAACACTTCAGAACTTCTCAGACATTTTTTATTGTGTAAGCCATCACATTCAAAACGATCTATTCAATTATCATAATTAGTATACATGCATGTATATTATAAAATATATCTGACATTGACATTGTTTGTAATGTTTGCTAAATTGGCACATGACTTCTAATTGCATTCGCAATCTAATTGCAAATTACCTCTAATATGAATCAACCATTTAACCATTTACATAACCAATCAACTTTGGGAGTATATATATACTGTATATATATATATATATATATATATATATATATAGAATGGAGGACATTCACAACCCTGAACTGCAGCAAGAAGCTCATGGAAGAGCAATTGGAAGGCACAATTGGAAGGCAGGATCCACACTTGTGGATCATGTCATAAATCTGACCATTGCAGGGGATGAGTGCGGCATTCAAGGAGATTTTTTCCACGGTGTGTGGCAATGGTAACATCAGATGTGATGTTGATGAAAATCTTTGGCCTGACCAACGTGAGCGACAAGATGTCCACCAAGAATAATTTGTTTCTTTTTTTTTTCCATGAATGTTATTTGTTGTTTGTGTATTTGTGGTAATACACAAATATGAAATGTAAAGTGAAATCGTGTTACTCTTGTCAGTTACTTTACATGTACAGTATATACACTTGTATTGTGTATATACATATGAAGTACAAAAATAAACACTGTAAAAATACAAACGTTCATAGAAATTTTTTTTTTCTACATACTATTGACTTTTCTCAACAAATATGAGATTTGTTTACAGTAAACCCTTAATTTTCGTGGTTGACTGTTGTGGTGAAAAAACAACTAAACATTTTGACCAGTGTGGCTCACACAATGACAAAAATACTTTAGATTTTGGTGGCCTTGGCCAAATTATTGACAAAATAACTAGGTTTTGAAGCATGAATTAAATGTTTTGGGTGAGTAACTACATTTTGCACACATGCTATAAAGTTTTGAAGTTCCTGCAAACAGTTGTGACATTTGCACTTACAGTTTAGAGAATGTTAAGACTGTTTCGAAAAATGTGCCAAAGCAATTGAGAAAAACTGTATTGCAGCTCTTTGACCAAACATACGGTTTGATTGGTCATCTGAGATTAGTTAGATCCTCCTTCGTTAGTCAATTTCTGTCAATTGCTGTAATAAATGTATCAAATGTTGCAAGGGATTCTTCAATGGTATTCATGGTATTATGTTCTTGACTAATTTTGACAATTGAACAGACTATTGTGCATGTGATGACTTATACAATGAAATGACACTGACACGTTTTGGAGTGAACAACCATTAGACTGAGAATGAACAATCAGTTTAGATCAACAAGATCTATTCACTTGGAAATTGTGCTAAATGTTGGCTACCTGTACTTAATCATTTGCAAAGAGGTACTGAGATATTTAGACATGTACTTAGGCATTTGCAATTTGATGAACTGAATGAGAAATTCAATTCATTTGGAGGTTTGTCCATGTTGTTTTGAGAATGTATTTTTTCTGTAGAATGTATAATTTCTGTTTCAAGAAATGAGCCAAACCAATGGAGAAAAACTGTAATGTATTGACATTTGAAGAAAGGTTTTTGGTAATTTGTTTCATGTTAAAAATACTTACTGAGCAATTTTAGGCAAGTCATTTAAAGGCTAAATCTGCACAATATTGCTCTGTTTAGTGACCATTTAAACCATTGAAAATAAATATAAAATATTATTTAGCAAAATAAATAAATAAATAAATAAACATGTATTTAAGTGGTTTTTTTTTGTAAATTTACACATTTAATTTAATATATTGTGATAATAAATGCTGAATCTACTGTATATAGATAGGTCTATATAGATAGACAGATAGATAGATAGATAGATAGATAGATAGTCTCACCTAAAGGATTATTAGGAACACCATACTATTACAGTGTTTGACCCCCTTTCACCTTCAGAACTGCCTTAATTCTACGTGGCATTGATTCAACAAGGTGCTGAACGCATTCTTTAGAAATGTCAGCCCATATTGATAGGATAGCATCTTGCAGTTGATGGAGATTTGTGGGATGCACATGTTGTGGGAAGCTCCCATTCCACCACATCTCAAAGATGCTCTATCTGGTGACAGTGGGGGCCATTTTAGTACAGTGAACTCATTGTCATGTTCAAGAAACCAATTTGAAATGATTAGACACGGTGCATTATCCTGCTGCAAGTAGCCATCAGAGGATGGGTGCATGCATGGTGGCCATAAAGGGATGGACATGGTCAGAAACAATGCTCAGGTAGGCCATGGCATTTAAACGATGCCCAATTGGCACTAAGGGGCCTAAAGTGTGCCAAGAAAACATCCCTCACACCATTACACCACCACCACCAGCCTGCACAGTGGTAACAAGACATGATGGATCCATGTTCTCATTCTGTTTACGCCAAATTCTGACTCTACCATCTGAATGTCTCAACAGAAATCGTGACTCATCTGACCAGGCAACATTTTTCCAGTCTTCAACTGTCCAATTTCGGTGAGCTCTTGCAAATTGTAGCCTCTTTTTCCTATTTATAGTGGAGATGAGTGGTACCCGGTGGGGTCTTCTCCTGTTGTAGCCCATCCGCCTCAAGGTTGTGCGTGTTGTGGCTTCACAAATGCTTTGCTGCATACCTCGGTTGTAACGAGTGGTTATTTCAGTCAAAGTTGCTCTTCTATCAGCTTGAATCAGTCGGCCCATTCTCCTCTGACCTCTAGCATCAACAAGGCATTTTCGCCCACAGGACTGCCGCATTATGGATGTTTTCCCCTTTTCATACCATTCTTTGTAAACTCTAGAAATGGTTGTGCATGAAAATCCCAGTAACTGAGCAGATTGTGAAATACTCAGACCGGCCCGTCTGGCACCAATCATGCCACGTTCAAAATTGCTTAAATCACCTTTCTTTCCCATTCTGACATTCATTCAGTTTGGAGTTCAGGAGATTGTTTTGACCAGGACATATATATATATATATATATATATATATTGTTTTCATGTTAAAAATGAGTAAAATCAACATAAGTCTTTTTTAACAGTCTTCATAATTACATAATTAGATGCACTCATACATTTTAAGTGTTCAAATCCTTTTTTGTTGGGCGAAACAAAAAAACAAAACAAAACCACATTCTATAACCGAACTGTGATGCAATGCATGGGAAACCATCGGTAAAGTGACCGAAAGAAAGCACCTCACCTGATTGGTTGTCCCTGAGCTATTGCTGCGACTTAGAGCTTCTCCCTGAGACACGGCTACGGACAGCGCCGACTGCTGGGAGGAGGAGCGCGCCGTGGAAGCAGGCGGCGTGGAGAGAGAGCGCGGAAGTGATGGCAGACTGTCCGTGTCCGCTTCCGCCTCCTCCACCTCCTCCTCCTCTTCATCTTCCCCTATCTCCAGCTCGGCACCCAGATGGCAGAGCACCAGGTCCACCAGGTCCTCTTTCTCCCTGCAGGTGTCCGTGTTGATGTTTCGCAGCGTGAGGTACTGCCGCAGGTCTTTAACGCGGAGTCGCATTAGCCTGGGCCGCTGGAAGGCCGTGCCCCACAGCAGGTGGCAGGTGGCGCAGCGCCGCAGGTTTTCCTGCAGCACAGAACACAGCGAGCAGAAGCTCTTCTTGCAGTCCGAGCAAACGTGCTGCGAAGAGAGAGAAATGAATCATTAAAGCTTCACTATGTCACTTTATTTGGTTCAGAATGAACAAACTTTGTAATAAACAGAAGGTGACAGAACCTATAATAAAACAAAATTCAACATACAGTAGTTAGTATAGCATCACATTTGCTGTGCATTAACTACTTGTAGGTTCTCATAAGAAATATTTTTTTTTTGATACGAAGATATCTGTCTTCCATTATTGTATGTACTCGCGTAATAAAAAAACCAAAGTTCCTCTGCAACTAACTTCATCAACAGGTTACAAAGTATAGCTTTAAAGGGTTAGTTCACCCCAAAATGAAAATTCTGTCAGTAATCACTCACCCTCATGTTGTTCCAACCCCGTAAGACTTTCGTTCATCTTCGGAACAAAAATTAAGATATTTTTGATTAAATCTGAGAGCTGGGGCCTATACCATGAAGCCGGTTTAGGTGGCTAGCCCGATATGTTTCAGTTTAGTTTGTGCCAACCCTGGGTTTTAGGTACCATGAAAGTGGTTTGGCTTTTAGCAGTGTTCATCGCCATAGTAACTTACACTCCACGGCTAACCTGGTCCAGGGCAGGTTATGTTCCAGTTAAGAGGTTGCAAACCGAACTTGGACCAATCAGCTGTGAGCAAAGTGACACATGTATGACAGGATAAAGTCACTTCACAGCAAATAATTTTAAAAGACAAAATAATGGCTTTTAGTAAATAAATTTGTATGATTTAGAAATTATTTCTGTAATTATTATATCCTAAAACAATCTAATTTAAGTTCATCAATTATTATTACGCAGATTTTAAATACGTATATAAAGGCAATATAAATACGCTTTAGAATCAATAAATGAAGCTATAAAATGACTACATGTGAGCTTAAATGTTCAATTCTCTCTATACCTTTTATCAACATAAACTAACGTTACAACTTTTTCTTGCACTGATATACAGTAGCGAGACTTTCTTTTAGTTGTCCTCTTTCATAGACAGCCATTTTCTTCTTGCTGTGTAAATTTGTTTAAATTCTTAATATTTTAATACTTTTATTTAATACGTGAATTGCGCCGCTTCTCTCGCGAGAAATTAATTTAAATGAGTTTTGAATGAGTTTCACTCTTTCTCAGCATGTGATTGGCTGTTCGCTACTGATGCCACACCTAAACTCCTTAACTCAGGATCAAAGCCTGAGTTGACAGAGAAAGTTGATGATCAGCATCATGGTACCAACAAAGCCTGGTTGGATTGGTTTGGTTTTGTCAACTCGAAACTAGTCCTGCAACCCTGAGTTTGTTCCACTACCATCATGGTACAGGCCCCTGGATCACTCCTCCATAGACTTCTTAAGGGATCTAAACTGGCCGGCCCAAAAGTTATGAAAGACATAGTTAAAATAGTCAGAGTGACTACAGTGGCTCAACTTTAAGTTTATCATACATGAGAATACTTATTGTGCGCAAAAAACAAACAAAAATAACGACTTTATTCAACTATTCTTTTCCTTCTCTGTGGGCCGTGAGATTTCACGTAGCGAAACTAAGCAGCGCTTCTGGGTTGTACGTCACACGCAGGCTCACTATTGGCCGACACTGGTCATGTGTGGGATGTATGTGACATACAACCTTGAAGCACTGGGATGTTACACTATGTGAACTCACTAAAGGCGAACAGAGAAGGAAATGAATAGTTGAATAAAGTTTTTGCGCACAAAAAGTATTCTCGTCGCTTGATAAACTTAAGATTGAGCCACTGTAGTCATCATAACTTTTGGGCCGGCCAGTTTCGATCTCTTAAAGGGATAGTTCACTTTGAAATGAATTTTTGATATGTTTTAGCTTACCTCAAGGGCATCCAAGATGTAGGTGTCTTTGTTTCCACAGTATTTTCAATTTTGACATTTTTCAGTCAAACCGTTGTTGTCTATCAGTCATACACTGGAGGCTAAGGGGGTCCACCAAAAAGCATGCACAGAGAAGTCAAAATTAAACATGATTTAATGACTCGTAAATGTAAGGACACATTGATGGCCTAAGACACGAAACAAGCGTTTTTTGTGAGAAAACGAACAGTATTTATATTGTTTTTACCTCGTGTAATCACAGTGACGTCCAAGTGATCTGAATCAGTTGTGCAATGTCCAACTGAACAGAACTGAATCAGTTCAATGTTACGCCGGAAGTGATCGCTTGCATGTGACGTCACTCAATATTTACACGGAGATTTCGGAAGTTTTACCTTTTACTAAACATATTTAGATATACCGAAAATGTCTTCCATTGCGGTTTCCCGTATATCTAAATATGTTTAGTGAAAGGTAAAGCTTCCGAAATTTCTGTATAAACAAAGAGTGACGTAGGCGCGCAAGCAACCCAGATAGCAAACTGACATTGAATCAACGTGGAAATATGACATCGAAACAACGTTGATCTGACATTGTTTTGCTCATCGAATTAACGTTGAACCAACGTCAGACGCGTCATTCTTTCAAAACTAACGGAAAATCAACTTGAAATCAACGCGTTGTTTCAACGTTATGAAAGCAAACCAATTTTCGATTTCATTTAGCTTTGAAGAATGCCACGTCTGACGTTGGTTCAACGTTAATTCTATGAGCAAATCAACGTTGTTTCAATGTCATGAGAGACGTCGTTTCCACGTTGATTCAATGTCAGTTTGCTGTCTGGGAATCACTTCCGGCGCATGCGCAGACCGAAGCGCCCGTGCCGTCAGATCATTTGGTCATGGCTATGATTACAAGAGGTAAAAACGATATAAATACTGTTCGTTTTCTCACACAAACCGCTTGTTTTGTGTCTTAAGCCATCAATGTGTACTTACATTTACGAGTCATTAAATCATGCTTAATTTTGACTTCTCTGTGCATGCTTTTTGGTGGACCCCCTTAGCCTCCAGAGTATGACTGACAGACAACAATGGTTTGACTGAAAAATGTCAAAATAGAAAATACTGTGGAAACAAAGACACCTACATCTTGGATGCCCTTGAGGTAAGCTAAGACATATCAAAAATCAATTTCAAAGTGAACTATCCCTTTAAGAAGCCTAGAGGAGTGATCCAGCTCTCAGATTTAATCAAAAGTATCTTAATTTGTGTTCCAAAGATGAATGAAAGTCTTACAGGTTTTTTTTTTACAGAATTTTCATTTTGGAGTGAACTAACCCTTTAAACAGCCAACTATTTGAAAAAACTTTTGCTGATAATTTACTCACCCCCATGTCATCCAAGATGTCCATGTCTTTCTTTCCTCAGTCGAAAAGAAATTTAGGTTTTTGATGAAAACATTCCAGGATTTTTCTCCATATAATGGACTTCAATGGGAACCGGATGGTTCAAGGTCCAAAAGACAGTGTTAATAACAGTTTCAGATGCAGCTTCAAATGTCTTTAAACAATATCAGACGATGAATAAGGGTCTTATCATGCGAACTTTTCTAAGGACAAATGCTAGCCTAGCTCTATTCTGTGAGGCGCGTTTGTAACGTCACGTAATACGTAATTACGTTCAAAAGGTCACGGGCGACGTAGCCGGAAGTACAGAATCAAAATCGTCCGACATCGTTGTTTTACCTTTTAATTCCTTTTTTGTAAACGCCGTTTGAGTTAGTTTTCACGTTCAACCTATGCGTTCAACTTGTAAACACTCTGACTCTGTACTTCTGGCTACGTCGCCCGTGACCTTTTGAACGTAATTGCGTATTACGTGACGTTACAAACGCGCCTCACAGAATAGAGCAAGGCTAGCATTTGTCCTTAGAAAAGTTACATTTTTGGAATAAGTTTTGAAATAACCGATCGTTTCGCATGATAAGACCCTTATTCATCGTCTGGTGTCGTTTAAAGACATTTGAAGCTGCATCTGAAACTGTTATTAACACTATCTTTTGGACCTGAACCATCCGGTTCCCATTGAAGTCCATTATATGGAGAAAAATCCTGGAATGTTTTCATCAAAAACCTAAATATCTTTTCGACTGAGGAAAGAAAGACATGGACATCTTGGATGACATGGGGGTGAGTAAATTATCAGCAAAAGTTTTTTCAAAAGTGAACTAATCCTTTAAGTGTATGATTTAATTACGTCATGCTTTAGTTGTTTTGATTGACAAAATACAAACACTTCTAACACTTCATCTCTAAATCACTGCGGCATGAGCTTCGTTTTCACGACACTTTCAGACTCTCAGAAGCAGTTGAGGAATCTCTTTTGGCAAGCTCAGTGCTTGTTATCAAATGCCACCCTGCTGATGAATGAGCTGTTCAATTAAACCATTGCACTCTGGGTTAATGTCAGCTATATCCATCAGGTCTGTGCATAAGTGTGCTGTGGTGAGCATCTGCAAATGTATCACACTGTCTGGGCATCTGAGCGGCTGCAGACAGGTGTGAATGTGCTGATAGCATTTCAAACACTGATGCTTTGTGGAAAAGTTAATGCTTCAATCTTTCATCTCTTCTGTCCTTCCTTTGCCAGGAAATGAGGCATGCCAGACTTAGGCATGATAGATCAACATTATATATATATAATCATAAATCATATTTCATAAACCCTAGGTATCCTACCTTTCGTCTGAACACAGAGAAGGCCAGTCCGCAGGCTTTGCACGCCAGGCCTGCGCTTCCTGAGGTGGTGCTGCTGGGTGGGTAGGTGGAGTAACCAGCACTCGGGGCGAAGCGGAACGGCCCTGCTCCGGCTCCAAAGCCTGGCTGCTGGGTGCGGACCGCCCCTGTGCCCATCACCTCATTCAGCAGCCCGCAACATGACGCCCACATGGAGGAGGCCCCCGCCTGGAGAAGAAGGACAGGTTCAGAGTGTGTTATGATAAGGCAATGGCAAAAACGATCAAGCTACTTACCACAGAGGGCAAATTTGTGTGCCAGTCATACATGAAATCAAACACATATACTAACAATTTTTAAATGTTTTTAAAACAAGCCTCATGCTCACCAAGGCTGCATTTATTTGATCAAAAATACAGTAGAAAGTGTAATGTGGTGAAATATTATCACAATTTAAAAATAACTTTTTAATTTTAATATATTTTAATATCAAATGTATTGTAGTGATTACTCCAGTCTTCAGTCACATTCCTTCAGAAATCATTCTAACTGAAAACAGTTTTCAACACTGACACTAATAAATGTTTCTTGAGCAGCAAATCATCATATTAGAATGCTTTCTGAAGGATCATGTGATACGTAATGATGCTAAAAAAATTCAGCTTTTCACCACAGGGAAAAAATAACATTTTCAAATATATATATTCAAAAACATTGTTTTGTAAATCTATATAGTACATGCTTCACAATATGTAACTGAATCCATTCAACCTCAACATTCATAAAATATGTTAGTAATCATCTGAAATAAATCAATGCTTTGCAGTCCTTAAGTGAATCCTCAAGGAACATGATACAGTGTAAATGGCTGTTAGGGCAAGACTAAATCTAGCATGCATTTGGAGTGTTAAAGCGGTGTCGGCAGAGCAAAACGCCAGTACGAGCTAAACAGCTGAGATTAATGGACGTCTCTGGTTTCAGCCAAATGCATGTGCAAACCAAACAATGCTTTCATAGTAATCATAAAAAGCATGCATTACGAGTATTCTTACTTTCCAAAGGTCTAATGGGCTGGTGTTTCAAAGAGCTTTCATTTACTTAAGGTGTAAATTTAGAAGATGTTGGTTTCACTATGCTGAATCTGTCATAATACCGCTGGCATATGGTCCGGTCCACTTAGCAGATTGTTTTGTCCAACTTAGAAAGTGAAAATGACTGATTGAATGTAAAGCAACCAACCAGTTATTTGTTATTTATGTTTACCTGGAATAAATTGTACAACAATAATAATTTATTTCACATATTTCAAATGAAATTTTCGCAAATTTCCAAAGGCCCAAAGGTTAAAAAAACAGAAATTTCACATACAACTCTGAAATATAGAATTCTTCTTATATTATGGATATCTAATTTACTTGCTAATATCCAGCTAAAAAAGTAAAGTTGCTTTGAAAAAGTTAAGTTGAAAAAGAAAAAGTTTCCTGCGGAAGAAGTCGCTCATAAACTCACCAAAGAGATGAAGAAAGTTTCTTTGTGGCTGAAAAACTTATGCCTCACTTTAAATCTAGATAGGACTGTTTCTATGTTTTTCTCAAAAATCGTTATAAAATACTAAATTGCACAAAGATCTTAATTGATGGACAAATCATCTCATTTCCAGATGAGGTATAATATTTAGGTGTTATATTGGAACCAAATTTAGGCTTTAAAAACATTAAAAAGTTATCAAATACAATTAAATTTAATGTAAGTTCAGACACATTCAAAATTATGTTACATTTGAGGCCTCAGGAGCCTAAATGCAATGATTGTTCCACATTTTCTTAACTGTATGACAAGTTGGTCACAGGCTTGTAAATCTGCCCTCAGGCCACTTATATAAAACTTCTTTAAAGATTCACAATAAGAAAGCCAGACGGTTCCATCATTATCATATCCTCGTAAAATATAAATTTCTCAGTTTTGAAAATCTGATGATCCACACAAACCCGTGTCTGATGTATAAGAACCTTTATGACAACGCTGCTAAAAGAGTTTCTATCTTTGGGCTCTGAAACAACATCTTGAGCCACTAGATTCACAGTGCAAGGTGAATGCAGGATCCCTAAACGCAGGACAGCATTTGGAAATAATGCTTTTTCTTGAGTAGCTGATGTTGCCTGTAGAGCTGATAAAAGGTACAAACTTTTGTACGTTTTCTCGTCTGGCAAAGAAATGGCTTTTGTCAAATCAAATTTGTACTCACATATGATCGATGTTCGTGAATGTGAAGATTTTTTTTTTTGAAGGGGACATATCATGCAAAATCCACTTTTTTAGCCCTTAACTCTTTCCCCGCCAAACACGGAATTTTCCGTGTTTAATGAAAAAACGCATCTGCGCCAAACACGGAATTTTCCGGGTATCCGTGTTTTAGGTGGTATACGGTAAGGAAGACCCGCGCGCATGTCCTGAATGATTGCGCAACTCTTTGATCAGAGAAACAGATTGCAATCGTCTCAAACAGTGGAGTAGTGAGAATGTATCAGACAGACAATGCAGAGGTATATGGCTGAAGTACTGGAGGTTAATGGACTCGGAGTCCGATCACTCTTTATTTGATCATTCTGAATCTGATCGGGACGAAGTAGTCAGTGAGAGAGATGCACATGTTGTCACAGAAAGTTCTAGCCATGGACGTGCCGCAGATAGATCGTATAATATTATGACACTATAATATGTATGTGTGTGTGCAGGCATTTATGTGTGGCTGTCTAAATATGAAGGTGTAATTGTCAAATTATTTCTCTCTTTGTGCACATTTACCACATTGTAATATGTATTTGTGTGTATGTGTGTGTGTGTGTGTCTAGGCCTGTTTATTGTAATTCCAATTATTCATTATTCACATGTAACACAGAGAGGCAGAGGCAGAAGTTTTATTGCAAAAGTTACATTTCCCTTACATCCTGGGAAATTTGATATATTTTACATTTATTTTATGTTTTTAATTTATTTTGGAAAGTTTTATATATGAAGGAAACAACATCTGAATGTATTCTGCTTTTAAATGCACTTGTTTGATAAAAATACCTTTTTCTCAGTTTTTTGTCCAAAATGTTGTGTTTTTGACAAAACCTACCTCTGTTCAAGAGGCAATAAAAAAAGAACAGATGAAGATAAAATAAAAACGTTTTTTTTGCCTAAAAGCATAGGCTCAGATCTTTATTTTTATATATATCATCTTCATATATTCATGGAAGAAAATATTCAGCGGGGCATTCAAATTTAGCGAAAATCGTCAAAAACCCTGGCGGTGGCTGGCAACTTTTTTTTAAAACGCTGGCGGGGAAAGAGTTAAATGCATTTTGTTGTATATTTGGAGTGTTTATAAGTACATAAAATATGAAATTATTCTCTTCAGGTGCTTTGTTTATATCTTTATATTCTGTTTTGGTCATATTTTTCAACCTGTTCAGATTTTTCTGTTCTCTAAGACATTTTTTTAACTATCACGTCACAGTATTTGCAGCGGAACTGCCAAATAAGGACATTGACTACACTTCGAGCAATCCGCCATTATTATTTCTCGCTCCAATTTTGTAGAATGATGCAGAAGTTACGAGAGGGCAAGTCAAAATGTTCGGTTGTTGGATCATGTAGTGACCTGAAGCACTTCAAGGATTCCCACTTCAACAACCTCCGCCAGTATAAAGAAGGGTTTGCTGATTGACTTCGTCTGAATGAAAATAGGTAAATATTTTCCAGAGGTGTAATTTACCAGAGGTAAATTCCTTCTATCTTTGGAGACGACGAACAGAGCATTTCGATAAAATGTAAATATCGTTAATAAAAATAAAGTACTTTACTTTCTTAAAACACATGGTGGTCATGGTTTAGCAGTACCTTTGTCTTTCTTTGTTTTTGTTTTGAAGTAACGTTACACGTCTGCAGTATTATTGTTCTTGAGTTTCATCAATGGTCATTTAGCTGCTGTGTTTTCTGATGCTTTTCTAAACGTATCATATTATCAATACAGATTGTTTGTGGTAAGATTAGACCGTAGTCATTTATCTTGTCAGTGTGCTTGTTTTAACAAGAGAAATAGTCGACTTTCACTAATAACACAAAACAGTTAAGTCACATACCTATATATCCATATGAAGAGGTTGTTCTGCAGGTTCGTCGTCGTCTTTATCAACTCGCTCGCTCTGGCGCGAATATTTAAGGCTGAAGGTATCGTATATAATCGTATATCTCTAATCAAACTACAATAATGGCGAACGTGGGGAATTGAACCGACCGGGAACTCATCGACCTGGAGAGCGGGCGGGGTGTGACGCATCTCCTTTTTATTTAAAGGGGCCGCTTTGAAACGTGTCGCTCAAAGGCGCACATCAGAAAAGGGGTAGAAAAGGGGCTTGTGGAGTAATGAGGATTATAATTATGATAATAATGAGGAATTCAAACCCAAGCATTGCAGTTATGTTTTATATAGACCACAACGGTATGATTTATATGTAAAAATGAATGATTTAAAAGCATGATATGTACCCTTTAAATTATTTATTTGGTCAATGTAAATTTCATTAATCATGTATTTATGATGTATCATGTATTTTAGTATAACATCAACCTGCCCAGTAGCCTGGATGCAAGCCCGAAAGCCGCTCACAACATTTTTTGGCCGGGAAGTTCGGTCTGGACTCGATCCATTGAGGAGAAATTATGATCGGTCAAAAAATGAACGGGCCAATCAAATTGCCAGGGCGGGCTTTATACGATGACAGACAGATGATCTGCAAGGATGTAATCATCACGTCAAAGAGCGCTTAACTGGTTTCCGTCAGAGATGACTGCAGCTGGAGAATTGAGATGTATAGATTCCGCTGTCGCGTCTGTTGTAAAATAAATCAACAGCGCATTCATTTTAAGAGTTGAACATTATGAAAACGTAATGAAAAGCCTGTGGTCGTTGTGATTTCTCCTTTGGTCGCATTCATGAAGGACCAAGTAAAAGAAGCAACACTTGTTCGTTATTTTACTTCTAAAATAAGTAAGTTATACTGCGCTATGCAAAGTAGTTGACTTACTGCGTTGCTCTGATTGGTTGTAGGTCTACCGACTATCCATTTGAGTGCAGAGTTTGTTTTTTTCCTGGATCGGTTACGACACGCCTCATAATCAAAGCCTTATGGAGCAGTATCATGCATTAGAATATGAATATGAGTATGAAGAAGTCAGGCTAC